CAGAGGTCGGATTTTGGCGCGTGTTGAAAGCCCTGCTATTTCCCAGGAAGACAGACAACAGCTAGGGTTAAAATCAAGTTGTCTTTACTAAAGCAATTGTTCAGACATACCAAAACAGATGCGTACAAATTCACACAAGCTCCTTAGTTACAATAGGGTAAGAAAACAATAAGCATGAAAAACAACAAAAACATCAAACAAAGGGGATGACTCTGAGGTATACGATCATACTCATCTGAGATCCAACTGAGAGAAGAAATCTCCTCTTTCCAAGAAGGGCAGCCAAGGCAACAGCTGGTGGACTCTAGACACAGGACGGCTGGGCCAGCCACAGCCACGTGTGTGCTCCCTGGTCGCGACTCCGGGGAACTTAAGAGTTACCTGCAGCACCTTAGTGCAGACTAGGGGCAAGGGTGAGCTAGCTAGCGAACAAAGGCTTGTTTCTCCTTTTAAAAGCTGCTTTTTGGGGCAGTCTCTGTCTATCGTAAAACTTGGGGTACGTCCTCTACTCCTAAGCTATAGGTTGGGCAGGGGGTGACGTCCTACAAGAGGGGCAGTGGATAATATGCAGATTCTCCTATCCTACATCAAAGCGGGGCCATTTGGTGATGGTTGCACCTCCGTTTCCCCGGCAACTTCTTTGCTGTGCCAGATGTTGGGTACCCAAGCCATAAAGGATGTTGTCTTTTCGATGCCAAGCCAGATAACGAGGTGGAATTGTACTCCTTCCCACCGTCCATCACTGCTGGTCAGATCTGTTGCTCATCCAAGCGTCTCTATGTGTACCCCAAATGGTGACCTCGTAGGTACTGGGGCACATTGCAACATTCCAGAGCAGGCATTTGCTTTTGACCAGGGTGCAGTGCAAATTTCCATGGCAGGCAAAATACTTGGTGGCAGGCATCCCTGTCAGGCCCCCACTGTGGGCAACCTCGGGGTGCAAGGCCTGCCATTGCAGTCCATAGCAACACACACACACACATAGCAATGAGCCTCAGGCTCTCAAAGGCACAGATACTTATACATGTAAGCAACATATCATAAGCGCAATACAGGCAATATGCAAATGCAAATGGTCACATGGTAACAGTCTGGAGCTTCTCCTAAATGTAGCCTTTGTTGGCTTAAGTTTTCCTTACTTGTTCTGTGTTTTTTTCAGGGCAGGCTGTCTTCCTGTCAATCACTCATAGCACGATCCTGTGCAAAGTTACTCCAGGGTACGGTCACTACATTGAGTTTAGACTGGAGTAACTCTGTACAGAATTGCGCTGTCAGCCAGGGTGAAGCTCTGTAGAAGAAGAAGAGTAGGTTTTTGTACCCAGCTTTTCTCCACCTTAAGGAATCTCAAACCAGCTTACAATATGCCTTCCCTTCCTCTCCCCACAACAGACATCTTGTGAGGCAAGTGGGGCTGAGAGAGTTCTGAGAGAGCTGTGACTGGCCAAAGATCACCCAGCAGGCTTCTTTTGGAAGAGTAGGGAAGCAAACCCAGTTCTCTAGATTAGAGTCTGCCGCCTTTAACCACTACACCACGCTGGCTCTGTGGTTATGCAGGATGGAGTGATGTGCTCGCAAGTTTATTTTTAAGGTTGTGTGAATATTGGAGGCAAAATAAGATAGCATCCATTTGTGGGATTGTTTTTGTTCTTTTATTCCCCCCCCCCCCCCCTCTCTTTTTTTTGTCTTCCTTTATTTTATAGGTGGCTACTTTAAAATGGGGAAAGCTGTAAAATAGAAAACGCAAGATAAGAATGTCTAGAACATGGGGCTCTTCACTTGAAGCAAAGGGGAAACATGGTCTTCTCCTGCCTTTCTGTTTTTTTTTAATATAGATTGTGGCAGAAATTACTTGGGAAACAGCCTCTGTATTTAATGCTGGTTAATAATGGCTGCCCTGATCCTGCATGACACATTGGTTGTGTTAAATAGCTGTTGTGGGTTCAGTGTTTTCACCTTGCGTTCTCTGCTTGGAGAAGTTTTAAAGTCTGCCGTTTGGTGTTGTTCTGAATAGGGACTCTTTTGTTTTCAGTGGTAGGATGTAGCCTATCATTTAGCAACATGAGCGAGAAGTCTTTGGCCCAGATAACTCAGTCACAGACTCTCCGTTCAGCCGCTGCCTCTCTGTCCGGGCTCCTCCAGTCAGCAATATAGAGATCTTCCGAGCTTAGCCAGCAAGGTTGTTGTAAAGATTATGAGATTGTGACTCGGATCAAGAGGAGCACTCCCAGGGGAAGAAGTATGTCCGCCTGCAGAACGCTCCCTTCTCACCTTTCACTGCAGCCGAAATGCCCCTCTGCTGCTGCATTTATAGCTGCAGCAAGGGGGGCAGGTGAAAAGGTTGCACTCTACAGCTGAAAATCCTGCCGCCCATGGAAATGCACCGCTGGATCCCAGCCAATGCATGTATGATGCTCGACAGATATTTTTGATCCCGAACTGACATTTGTTTCTGCCCCTTAAAGCTGTACAGATTGGAACGTTACGACGAGTGCTTAGCCGTGTATCGGGATCTCATTCGCAACTCCCAAGACGACTATGAAGAGGAACGAAAAACGAACCTTTCGGCAGTGGTTGCTGCGCAGAGCGCCTGGGAGAAAGTGGTCCCAGTAAGTAAGTTTGTGGTGGTGGCGTGTGACTGTTCCTGCCCTTCGACCCTCCTTGCTGCACCTCTCAAGGCAGCTGTGTAACAAATGCATTGCATGAGCTCTATATAAATACAGGGATCTTCCATATTGGAATGTTGAATAAAGGTGGGGGGTCGGGTTGGGCTTCAGTAGCCCACGTAGAACTGCTGCCCTTCCCAACTTGAGCAAAGCATTGACAAAGTATTGGCTTCTGATATCTGAATCCAGAACCTTGGTAAGTATCTTCTGTGTTGTAAGTAGAAAAGTAATTTGTGTTAATTTGGCACTTTCCCCTTTATGTTAAATAGGCCTCGTTGTGTGTTGAGGTATGTAATCAAGGCTAAAAGTACACTTTGCATCTTCTTCCTCTTCAACAGGATGATACTAACTTGTATTCTGCCTCCAGGAGTTCTAGTAATGTCTTGATTGTCTTTAAATACATTATACATTTTTTTACTGCTTTAAAAATTAAAGGAGAGGCTGATACTTTCTCTCTTTCAAAGGGTGCCTGTGACGACCGCTTATCTGGGGAGGTCTAGTTTTACTTTTAAGGGTGCCTTTTCATAGCTCTGCTGCAGTACAGAGAGCATGCTTGAAACGTGGCGCCCTTTAAAACACTTTTTCAGGGTGCATGCACCAGCTTATTATGGTATTGCAGTATCTCACCGAATGCTGGTAATGTGAGCTTCATTGTAAATATGAAGGAAGTTTAATCTCTTAGAATTGTTTGGCAAATTTTGCTTGCATTTTGCTCTTTTGCACTAGTGTGCAGTTTGTCAGAAAGCTGTTCCTGTGCAGATTGTTGGCACGTGTTGCTCACTGGGAGATCTAAGGCTCTTGAACTGACTGCATGTCTGTGGAAGAACTCTTTGCCCAATGGAGAATCGATTTGCCGTGTGTCTAGCAGCCTTACAGAATGAGCCTCTCTGTCCTGTTGCTTCCAAAATTTGGCCCCTTCCACATTTGGGGAACAGTGGTCCCCATTCTTAGATTATATGGCACAAACGGGTCTTCTGCCTTACAATCCGTACCTTATTTGCAATACCCTATACTAGGTTTTAATGCTGACTTATTTTTTACCTATTGAATATATGTAGAACAGTAAATTGCATTCAACTTCTAATGTAAAACTTGATTGTTCGCTTGTATACTTAGGTGTGTTATGGTTACGGTCGGATGTTTATCAGATGCCAATGCTATTGTATTGTATTGAGATTGTTAAAATTAATAAAAATTATAAATTCAAAATTAGGCCCCTTCGGCTTTAATCTCGCTAATACATCTGTGGGATTGTTTGCAATCTTTTGCAGGAAGATCTGGGCCTCCAAGAAGCTACCTACGAGCTGTGCTATAATGCTGCGTGTGCATTGATTGGCCAAGGCAGGCTGAATGACGCTGTGAAAAGCCTTCAGAAAGCAGAAGGTAATGAATAAGCAATTGAATGTGTCCTTTCTCTTTGCATGTTTTGCAGAGGGGGAAAGTATGGTGCCCGATTCCTCAAGAGAAGGATCCTGATCAGTGTTCCCTCTAAGCTGAGTTAGTGTGAGCTAGCTCATAGTTTTTTAGCCTCCGGCTCACACATTTTTGTCTTAGCTCAGGAAGGATGGCTCCAGAGCAAACTAATAGCCAGATCGCTCGCTCACAACTTTAATGCCAGTAGCTCACAAAGTAGAATTTTTGCTCACAAGACTCCACAGGGAGCATTGATTCTGATTACTCTGATTTCACAAGATACCTTAGTCCATCTGCTTAAGAGCTCTTTCCCAGCATCCAGTAACCCATAGCTCTTATGCACCGCACAGTCTATAGTGTGCTACTGCTTCCCTCTTTCGATTCGTATGCTGCTTGTCAGTAATCTCTCGCTCCAGGGCTTTCCAGAAACAATAACATTTGAGTTAATCCAAACAGCACGAAGTAAGCTATAGAAAATTGTATATGTTAAAATGAACAGTAACAAAATAAAGGGGCCAGTCAACCAAAATTCAGTTCTGAAATGACCAGTGAAACCCAAAAAAATGATGCAGGAAACAAATCAGAGAAGGTGTCTAGCAGAGGAGAACATCCCATAGTTCTGGAGCAGGGGGCAGCAGAGAAAGCCCTGCTTCAGGCAGAAGTGAGCCTATTCCAGAACTCAAGGGCGTCCAATGAAGCTGATGGGCAGTAGGTTCAGGATGGACAAAAGGAAATACTACTTTACACAGAGAGTGATTAAAATGTGGAATTCGCTGCCAGGGAATGTAGTGATGGCCACAGGAATAAACAGCTTTAAAAGGGGATTAAATAGATTCATGGAGGATAAGTCTATGTCTCCTAGCCATGGTGACTGACGGGAACCTCCACATTCAGAGGTACTGAGCCTCTGAATCCTGGAGTCAGGAGGCAACATCAGGGAAAGGCCTCAGCATCTATGCCCTGTTGTTGGCCCTCCAGAGGAACTGGTTGGCCACTGTGTGAGACAGGATGCTGGACTGGATGGAGCGCAGGTCTGATGCAGCAAGGGCTCTTCTTATGTTCCTATTTATTACATAATTTATAGTCCTCGGTTTTGATTAAACTATTAGCCTAATTTTAAAAATTCAAACCCCAGCGTTTTTGCATTCCTGTGGTTGCTATAGACATGTACTAATCTTTCATAGACGCTCATGATCAGTGGCTGTTGTCTGTGCGGAGATGATCGATCTTGGGTGTTTTCTCTCTTTTCTCTATAGAGCTGTGTCGTCAGTCTCTTGCAGAAGACTCGGTAAGTTGCTGCTGTTCGTGTTGAGCAAGGTGTGTGTGTGTGTGTTTTGCCAAAGGAGTTATCTTATTTGTGTGCGAGTTATATAAATCCGGAGCTGCGGTGGCTCAAGTGGTTAAGATGTTGAACTGCAGGCTGTGGAAGGTCAGTAGTTCAGTAGTTCAGCAGTTCGAGACCCGGGTGCTGCATGATGGAGTGAGCTCCCATCTCTAGCTCCAGCTCCTGCCAACCTACCAGTTCGAAAGCAAGAAATTGCAAGTAGAT